ATTTGTCAGTGCTCGGGGGCAGTGATTGCAGTGACAGGTGAATCCAGGGGCCCAGCGATGGCATCCCTACTTCATAGGTTTGGGAATGTAAAAGACTACTGGCCCTTTCACTCGGGACGTGGCAGTCAACAGGTTCGCATTTTCTGGGCTGTAATTCCTCTTCCCTGCAGCCAAGCGGGAGCGGAGCGAACCCCAGCCCCCGGCCACTGCTATGCCAAGCCTCAGACCCGGCCTACCGCCAAGAGCCTTAAGCCGGGCGGCCACCCCGGCATCCCGGGGGAATAGGGGGAGGGAGGTGGTGCAGAGGGTGCGGGAGAACCCCCGACCGGCAGCCCTGCACGACGCTCGGCCACCTTCTCTCCCAACCCCAGCGCCCAGGCGGGCTCCCGCGGGCTTTCGCTCCTCCTCTGCCCCCTCTTTAATTTTCATTCCGCCTTTTAATTATTAATTAAAGCTGAGAAGGGCTGTGGCTGGGGGCGGAGGGGAAGGTATGCGGGAAGAAAGGGAAGAGAGAGCTGGGGGCAGCGGTGGGAGCGGAGGGTGGCGGGGGCGCAGCTTTGTGTGCCGCTTTAATTGGCCTGGCCACGGAAGGGCTGCCGGGGGGCGGCCCGGTACCGCTCCCCTCCCGCTACCCGCCCCATCCCTGCCTGTCCCGGGGTCCCGGCTGCAGGACCCCCTCGCCACCCCCGCCAGGCGCCCCGGTGCTCAGCCCTGCCGCGGGTGGCAGCCGCTGCCGGGGGCCGCTCCTGTCCCGCGCACCGGAGCCGGGCTTGATATTTAATCCGGCTCTCTTCGGACAAAGACCCATCTTTTTACCACGGAGAAACGCCACTGAGATGCGGCTAACCTCTAGAGTTATATCCCAAACCGCGACCCGAGATCTTGAAAGATGTTTGCCCGGCCCTTCTCTAACCTGAACAAAAAGGATCTGGGAAAAAAAAAAAAAGGCTTTATTTTTCGCACAACAAAGAATTCCTAATCATTTCATCTTGGGGGTGAATTTTTATTCCCGTCTCCACTCAGGGTATTGAAATCGATCGCTGCAATATTTAATATATTACTGTCTTAGAGTCTTCTCTCTGTAAAGCTGGGTTTATTTCTTGTCTGACTACGTCCCCTCCTATAATAGCTCAGTCTGTACATCTGTCTGCGTGTAAAATAATCATAGTCTTCATTAAATACACAGTCATTAAAGGCTGCGGTCAGTTTTCTAATTATCTGGAAAAGCAAACGAGGGGTAAATAAAGGCATGTTAACTGAATAATCTCCCAATAAATTCACAGGCACTTGAACAACAAACTCAACAAATATCTGAAGGTATAACTAAAACATTGGAGCTAACTATTTCTTAATCATGTGAAGTTTATATAATGTACCCTTCATTTTTTGTTTAACTTTCCTATAGTGACCTGTCCCATAACCTTGTAATCCACTGTGGGATATTTCTTTGTGGCCTCTTTCCTTTTGTTATGCCCCCACAGGTTTCCAGCTTAGATGCCTTTTTTTTTTCTCTTGGTAAATGCGTCTTTAAAAAATATTTGACCTGTTTGACTTAGAGACATGCATAGACATCTGTGGATTGGGTTAGGCTTAGCGTTTCTACGTGATTTCATGATCTTCGTAAAGCACCACCTGAAAATTAAAAATAATAGTTCTTCGACGTTGGGGAAAATTGCTGCTTTAGCAGCGTTTGCAAATGTGGATGACTCTTGTGTATGAACTGATTTTCTTTTTTTCAATATACAGAGATATATAGTTTAATGATCTCTTTGGGAGCACATCCTCGTTTATAGCAAATGTCCCGGCATAATCGAGTCTTTGCCACCCCAGTTTGATACGACTGGATGTCGCTGGACAGCCCTTGGGAAAACCAGGGAGTACACCAAAGGATTTGAGGCACCTTGATAGAAAGTGTGGGATAGGGAGTGGGCTCGGGAGATTTGCTTTTCCCGCTTCCCTGGGAGCGAGAGAGGCTCCTGGAAATGCTGTCATCCCAGCCGGAGCTCGGCGGAACCAGGCTCCAGCCCTTTACCACAGAACAGCTCTTTTCGCCGGGAGCAAGTCGGTTCTTTCAGACTGTTCTTTCAGGCTGAGCTTTGCAGGTACTAGTGAGCGAAGGCATTGCAAAACAGAGATAAACATGGAGCAAGGGCGCTGCTGCTTCTCCACGTCCGTCAGTGGAGAGAGAGCGAGTCCTGCTGAACTCGGTGATGCCTGCGAGGAAACCATGAGCACCTTTGCAGGCAGAGCCAGTTAGCCTAATTGGAAACCCCTTTTTCTTTCAGCATCCAAGAGTTCCTCGTCAGAAACCTTCGGCTGGTAGAGAGGCAGAAATGTTAATCGCTATCATGCCTATGCAGAGCTATTAACGCTACTGATTCTTAACTTTCTCAGCGAAGACAAATTCACCATATGTCGATGTGTAAACACTTTGGAATAAAATTAAAACCAGTTCTGTGCAATTGTCACTGTGCTTGATTCTAATACAAACTATCAGATGTTTATGTAGTTCGTCTTTCTAAATGATCAGACGCCATCGGCGTTGCTAAACCAAATACAAGCAGTAAATTCTGCATGGAGTGCGGCTCGGACTCGCAGGTTTTGTGAAGCCGGAGCAGCTCACACGAAGCCTCAGCAAAATCATCCTTCACTTTTGTGCCCGGCGTTGCGGCTGGGAGCCGCTGAACTCTTAATTACCCTCCAGAGCTTTTTCCTAAACCCGGTGTCATCCTTCTTCTGCGGGAAACGGGAGGAACAAATGCAGCAGCACGGCAGGAGCTGGCAGAGGAGCCGGGCTCCGGGCTGGAGCATTCCCGGGAAGCCCCACTGCATCTGTGCGCGCGTGTTTACAGAGGGGAGGAGGGAGGTAGAAAGGCCTCGGTAAAGCCAGGAGACTCTTTTAAGTCCGCTGATGAGGAATTGCTGCCGAGTATACTCTTCTTTGCCCCACGAGCAATGCAAACACGTACATAAAGATTTCCAACGTTCAGGTGTGTTTTAAACAGTTCACCTACTTTCAAGTCTGTTTCAGAAGCTCGGTTTTCCGGGACGGAACAAACACCGCCAAGTGCTCTGGGTGGAGGGCAAGAGATATCAGCGATTATCTGGAGAGCCTTTCTATTTATCGTCCTCTACGCAGCTAGATAGGGAAATACGAATGTTCACGGACTTGATGGATGGCAGGGCTTGTGTAGAATGGCTACATTTTACAGGCCCCTTTACGGGAGAAGGATACAGAAATCATAATGGAATTAATGAGATTTTACTAGCAAAATTTGTAAACCCCAGGTAACCATTTATAAACTTCCTCTAAAATGTAAGAGAGACTGCGAGATCACAGCCGGGGAGATCTGACATTATTTTATATGGCGTATTAAACGCCATTCTCTCTTTTCTCCTACCACATCACTTAGCATGAACATCTTTTTCCCTCCAGCGAACTTAGCCAGATTTTGACGGGGACGATTATGTCATAGTGGGAAACAACCTGAAAATCCTTCTGTTTATAAAGTGCTACTTCAAAAATCCACAGAAGACAGAGTAAAGTTTTTCAAATGGTCTGGAAAACTGTACACGGAATAGCACGTTATTGCTATTTACTCTTACCAAAATGTCATGTCCACGAAAATGGAAATGAGCATTTCCAGAAGAGAACAAACCCTTTTCTTTCTTTCCTTTAAAAAAAATTTATTTATTTACTTATTTATTTTCCCCATGCACTATACTAGGTAATAATTCGAGCTTTGTTATTGTCTCGGGTAGCTTACCCCCGAATCTCTGGAATACAAAAGCATCGCGAGTAAATATAAAACATATGTTCGCACAGGTTATGTGGCAGCTTTAACACTCGCAGCCCCATTCACACGCATCTCCACAAACGCACAAAGACCCTGGAAATCCCAGCAAACACACTGCTCCCGGGACAACCAGGCAGGAGGTGGTCCAGGAGAGCGGGGGGCTTTGCTCCGGGAGCAACAACAACCTACAACAAACAACCGGGAGGTCGCGGAGGGTGTGTCCGGGACCGAGCCTTGCCTCGGCAGGCGAGGAGATGCTGGTCGGCCCCACCGCTCCGCCGGGCGCTGCCGGTGCGGCGGCCCCGCGCTTCACCATCACCAGAGGCTTTTCCAAGGCTCAGTTTGTTTGTTAGTTTATTTATTTTTGCCCTGGAAGGTAGAGAAAGGAGAATGACAGGATGAAATATAATACAGAGATGTGAAGTGACCCGAGTGGCAGCTGAAGGCGAGGGTTTAGCCGGGACGTGTTTCCCAGCTAAACTCTCCGCTGCTCTTTGGGGAAAACCAAATGCAGGTTGATGGAAACATCCTGTTTTGAGGGAAATGGACTGTACAACCCTATCTAGGAGCTCCGACACTACTTATGTAGCCTGGAAGAGGGCTCAGAGCACAAGTCCTGGAGAAGAGGGAGCCGTGCATCTGACACGATTGCAATTCAATCCCGATCCTGAAAGGCAGTTTGGAAAATCGCTGCGCTCCCAGGGGCAGGGCCGGGCTGCGGCGACCCCTCCGCGTTTCGTCCCGCCGAGTTACCCGGGCCCTCCTCTGCCTGCAGCAGGGGCAGAGCCCCGAGCCGGAGAGGGGAAGGCAACAGATGTGGGCTGTTCAGAAATCCGTGGAACAAGTGCTCTAAACCCAGGGGGATTTCTCCTAATAGCGAAATCAGAGGGGGAGAGATTTCAGGAAAGAGAATAGCTCAATATAAGTTTCTAGAGTAGAATTTACATTTCATCGTGATTTGTATTTTACAATATGCTGGCGCGTGCACGCGGGAGAGGTTTGGGTGCCAGCGGCGAGGAAGTCCCCGCGTCCTGGTCCCTCTGACCGCCGGGAGCAGCGGCGGGGCTCTTCCCGCAGGGAGGGAAGAGGGGGCATGTTGTGGAGTTCGGAAAAGCTCATTGCGACACCCCTATTCCTATGCCCTCCCCCACCCCTCCGGGACGGGGGAGAAGGGGCTGAAGGTGCTGGCTCCTGTTTATTTGTCTAAGGGGAAAACGTCGGCGTGGGAGGCCCAGGGCTGCGCTGGAGCCCCCCTCGCCATGCCGACATGCCGTTCGGCGGGCAGGGGCAGCGGGCTGCGGCCGGGGCGGTGCGGGGCAGGCGGACAGGGGCACTCGGGGCAGCGCGGCCGTGAACAAAGGCGGGGAGCGGCTCTTGCACGTGGGCGCTGCCGCGGCGGGGCCGGTAGGCCGGGCCGTACCGCTGCTCCCCGGACTCCCGGGCCGGGACACCGGGGGTCACTCTGGGCCGGGGGCCCGGCTCTTCCCCCGCCGAGGGACGAGGCTTCATCAGGGCCTGTCTGCGGGTTGTCCGTGTCCGGCCCCGCTGCCCAAAGGTCACCGCGGCTGGTCCAGCTTCTCGCTACGGGCCACATTAGCGGAGCGGCCATTTACTGCCCCGGGATTGCAGCGCGGCCCGGGTTAGCCCATAAAGCCATTCACACTCAACAATGGGGATTTTCTCAACAATTAACAAGAAACAACATAATAAATCCATTTACAAAGCCCTCGCTATTTACTATAAATTAGCCACTCTTTAAGAGACCGGTGCGTAATTTCACACGCTTTACAGCCCCGGCTGCATTTTAGACCCAAGAGCCAACAGCCCTATTGGACTTTCTGCCCTGACCTCACTCCCCGTCCCCTCCCGGGCTGGCTTCGCGGGGGCGGAGGGCCGGTCCCGGAGCCCCGGGCCTCCCCCGGCCGCTCCCTGGCCCCGAGCCCGGCATCTGGCAGGAGGGCCCCGCGCAACCACCGCGGGCTTCCCCCCTGGCTCGTCCTCGGCTCGGAGCGAGCAGGGCGAGAGGCGGCAGAGCCGCACCACGGGAGAGCCCGGGAAGATGGACGCCCCGGCGGAGGAGCCGGAGGGGGGTGCGGGGTGGGAGCCACGGCCTCGCTTTGAAGTGCGGGAACCCCCGGAGACCGCCGCGCCGCCCCCGCAGCCCGCGGGACCCTGGCGGGAGCACGGGAGCCGGGCCAGGGAGCCGGGCCGGGAGAGGGGGAGCCGGGCCAGGCAGCCGGGGAAGCTCCGCGGTGCAGGGCAAGATGGCGGCCCGAGGCGCGGTGTGCCCCGGGCCCGCCGCGCAGGGGCCGCCCCGCCGCTCGGGGGCCCCGGCTGCGCTCCCGCATTTGTTTGATTTCACCCCCCCCCCCCTTTTTTTTTTTTTTTTTTTTTAATTGTAATTTCCAGGCAGCGGCAGCGCGCCGCACGGAGCGGGAGCGGGGCCGGCGGCGCTCCCTCCGTCCTCCCCCCTGTTTACAAACACAGCTGTTGCCGTGTATTTGCAATGCTAAGGGTAAAGCCACCAGCAGCGAGGAGCAAACGAGAGATGGTGCGGGAGAGGGGTCCTCGGCATCTGGAAAGGACAGGGCGCCTTGTTTTTGAAACTGTCAATTCCCTCAACCCCTATTGTGAGCGCCTCATGCAAAACATCTCGGGCCTTTTAAAGCGGGGGCTTGTGAGGCCGCCTCGGAGAGAAAGGGAGAGGGGGAGAGAGAGGGGCCTAGGGCACGGGAAATAATTATATCAGCGCAGTGAAAAAATGCAACGTGTAAGGCCTAAACCCGGCTCGCTGTCCCTTCCAGAAAGGTTTTCGGGCAGGCCGGAGCTGTTAGACAGCGGCTTGCAGGGCCATGTACCAGGGGAATGGGTAATGTCTGCAAGCGTGACTTCAGCAACACAGATCCCAGTGCTTCCCTCCTGATTTTGCTAGCCAGGGCTTTTCATTTTCAGGCACTCGCCCTCCTTTTGTACCTCCAAGCTGACCAAATAGATTCCAGGATGAACCATTACATATTCTTCCCAGCAATCCTCTTAACCATAAAAACCACAATTAACAAGGTTATATGTGTTTCATGTTCTCCAACATACTGCATATGTAGAATATTTTCCTGCAGAGTACCACCGTGTGTCAAAAATGCCACTTTTTTTTACCCTTTTCTGTCTCAACCACTCACACGTGTGAACAGTGACAAACATAAACATGATAGCATTGCTCTCATTTCTGTAGAAACTTTAATTTATTGGCAACTAAATCTGTTAGAGGTAAAGAGATCAGAGACCATGTAAAAAATCACCATGTGAATTGATTAAACAGCAAACTTCATAAAACAGCTACCACTATTTTGCATTATTGCTAGTAGTGGCATTTTAAATAAACAGTCAGTAAAGAGATTATCCCACTATATCAAGTAAGTGTAGCTTATATAACAATCGGTTCCTAAAGTAAATTGCTGTAAACGGCAAGTTACATCTTTTAAGGCAATATACCTCTTGCTGAAGGCATTACACGTGTTCCCTTTTTAATGCTCTAGAGAATTAAACAGAGTCCAAAACTTTCTTTGTCATCCATCTGGCAGCAGAAATCTTCCCAATAAATTTACTGGTGAACTCTACTTGTGGCAAATACCTATGCAGTATAGTCCGTAAAGTACACACACTTCCCTCAATTGCTTTTTCCTCTAGAAAATTCTGTTGATTTGTGTGTACACCAGGAATTGGGAAATGGTGGCGATTCATTACTAATATATTTTAAGTTTTATCTCCTGTAAACATTGCAGCAAAATGGTAGCCTAGCTGTCTTGGAAAACCTTGGGTTTTCCTCATTATTAGAACTTACCTTTATGGGAGAAAATTGGTTATTTTAAGTAACTCAGTGATAAGACTTCACATGATTAAGGCTGAAATGATGACGAACTCTGATCGCAATAATAATTACAATGTCATCAGAAACAGTTATCAAACTACCAGAATTGGAGAGAATACCATTTTTTCAATCCCCCCCCTTTATTTTTTTTTTTTTTCCCCTAGTGGTTATTGTACCTGGCTAATTTCTCCAGCGGCAGTAAAAACACGAATGTCCCTGTTAGTGGCTTGCACTAAACTGAGGTGTGCACGTGTGAAAATTATTTGGCTGTTTAACTCCTTGCCGTTTGCTGCTGCCTGGGCGGAGGAGAGCCAAGTGGAGCAGCCTGCCGGGGATGCCCGAGGGTGCCTGGAGCTCCCGGGCCGCTGGCAGGGCTGGGCGCCATATTTCACGTCCTCAACTCTGCAGAGCCTATTTGGTATAAATTTATGCTTATTTCTCCCCCTCCCACCACTACCCCCTCCCCCGGATTATTTCAGGAACCTGAAAAGGCACCTCTGTAATTTACAATTCCTGGCCAAATCAGCATATCTCTAATTGGAAGTAAACAGGGTCAGGGGACAGAGTTACTTTGAAAGTGATACGTTGTTTAATTGACAAGGCGAAATTTTAGGTTTCAAGTTTGCATATTGCACTTTTGTAGCTTTTGGCTTTTTTTTTTTTTTCCTTTTCTTTCCTTTTTTTTTTTTTTTTTTTTTTTTTTTTGGTCAAGTGAAGACCTTTGTCAAGCAGACATGGTTTCTAACAGAGCGGGGGTCTTTCCTGAGCAGTACATTTTGTACATACTTACAGTTCTCTGGAAATAAGGCTGTAATCTGTGCAGCTCTAAACACACGAATGTAAACATTCATCTCAGAACAACTTCAGTAAGCAGATTTTTCATGACCATCGTAATTTCAGCAGAGCGGTTGAGTATGCAATGCACCTTTTGCAATTGGTAGCTTTAAAGTGATGTGTGTGTGTGTGTGTGTGTGTACGTGTGCATGCAGGGGGGAAGGGTAACTCCACTGAAAGGCAATTGTTTACTCTTTCTAAATATATTTGGCTGCAGGTATTCTTAGACTAGGCCTTTTACAATGGGAGGAAAACTCCGGTGTGGATATAGTAAACAGAGCTGAAATCAGTTAGTGACTACTTGAAATATTTGGAGACACGAGGGGTTGGGAGAGGGCATCACAAAAGGCAGGAATTAAAAAATTGAATCCCAGGCAGTGGATTGCCAGCAGAAATGTTGACTTTGAGTCACACAGTAAACATTACATTGTTGCTTTGTTTTCCTTTTTTGATTTATGATAAATTATTCTCCCGGGATTGATCGATGAGTGGAATCCTTAAAATTTAATTTGTGAATGATCTAGTATAAATAAAATGCTAATCTAAAGAAAGAAACTAGCAATTATTCATCCTAAACTCCGCTGATTCAGCAACTCAATTATTACTGCCTTTCTCAAACTGCAAACTTTTCAGGCTGTTTTCAGAGTTGCTGTACCCGTCCTCCCCCCGCAAAAGAGACCTTCCCCTGTCCTCGGCTCTGCCTCCACCTCGGCCTCCAGCCTTTCTCTCTCTTTTTTTTTCTTCCTTCCCTTTCTTTTCGAGAGGTTGGAGGGGGGGAAGGGAGGGAAACAGTTAACCTCTTGAAGCGTATTTCCTCCAAATAAAAACAGTGAACTTACAAACGGAGAGGAAACCACGGATAACTCTGCAATAATTCAAAGTGTTTGAAATCAGGATTTTTTAAAACAGTGTTTTTAATTGAAAATAAAGCTAAAGCATGCTTTTCAACAGTGCAAATTTCCATAATTTTGATTTACTGCTTCCATCATCACAATATATTATACCAGCATGACTTACCGAGGGCTAGACTCTAGAAGTCTGCCTGTTCAACTATTTCGATATTAAGTGCAAATATAGATAATTGCCTCTGATTGTCACGTGCAGTAGAAATGTTTCTGCTACATAGAGAGGATGGCATGACAAAATAAAACCCACGACAGCAAATTTCAAGATATGAGGATAGAACCGGGAAGAGTAACACGGTTGAAACGCTTGAGTTTTGGTGCCAAAAAGCTATGAATAACATGGTCTTCTCGTTTTGTGTAATCTTTCCACTTACGGCCTCTCATTTCACTTTCTGTGTTGTATTTACTGCTTTGCTATTTCCTCCAGCCAGCGTGAGGGGCTGGACCATAAATTGTACTGCTGGCCGGGCAAATATTTTAGTTGCTTTGCAAGTTTGTAAGGGGCATGTTCAGACCACAACTTAAGTATGACATTAGTGGGTAACAGTAACCTTATTTAAGACCTCTGGGTGAAACAAAAAGGCTTCCCAATTGCAAAGAGTGGCTGTACAAGCAAAAAGACACCCTTTTACCAAAAATAGAATTCCACATTTATTTACTGGTTTCAAATGAGGCAGCTTTTCCCAGCGCTGGGGTCGCAGGCGGACACCAGGCTTTCCAAACCAGAGAAAAAGGAGTAAGTGCAACTGCTCTTTGAAAAAGACACCCCTGCACCCGAAAACAAAGCTCCCAAAAAGTAGATTGCTGCCACATTGAATTATAGTGAACCCTTACTGTGCAACCATGTAACTTAACAAACTTTAACTGAATTAACAGTTAGACTTCCATTTTCGAAATCTAGTGCATAAATTTAATGGCTCATTCTAATATTTATTATTCAACCTTTTGACATTTATTTGCAGCAGTTGAATTGAGGTACTGGTGCATTATTAGCATTTAAACAGTAAAGTGTTCCAGCTTTACCGTAATAACTGAGTTTAACTTGAGTCTTTAGCCTGAAGTACTCTGTGGAATGTAACAAAATAAAATAAAATAAAAAATGCCAATGCAACAGAACAAAACAAAACAAAAACAAACCACCAAAAAAACCCCAAAATAACAAAAAAATCCCACCACTGTTGTAATGGTAAATAAAATAGTAATCCGGTTTCTGTCTTCACATTGTGATAAAACAGGATTCCAAAAGTGTGTATAGCATTAATAGGTTTGTACAAACCATGCTGCAGTTAAAAAAAAAAAAAAAAAAAAAAAAAAGTAAGAAAGTTAAAGGTGGTTCAAGAAAATATTTTCCAAACTATTTTATTAATTAAATTTCCTGAATTTGTGGCTAGGTGGAAGAGGTATTGCAGAACCGCCCAGCTGCCATTTCCATACAGGATGGGCCTTGTGAGGTGGTTGGGAATCCTTAGTGGTGTTTAAGGAATAAGCTGGCAACAAATCCCCATCATTGCCAATAATTAGTGATGGTGGACAGGGAAAATTTGCCATGAAATTAAATGGCCTTTTCACTGCTGATGCTACATTGCTGGCTACCCTTTTGCGTCTATTGTTAACTGTAAAATCATCCAGTGTTCCTTCATGTGTCTCGATTTTACCTGTAGGACGTGGGCTTCGAGCTGATTTCAAATTTGGTTTGACTGGAGGAGTCTGCAGTACAGGTCGCTTTCCCAAAACCAGTGTCCTGTAATTTTTTCTCACCCTTGCTCCAAATTTATACTCCCCATCCTCAGGTTTTGGAGTACCTAAAGTGCATGAGAGGACCTGACTCTGAGTCAGCGGGTTTAAGGAAGTGGTTTCTTTCTCAGTGCATGCAGAATCTTCCTTGGCTGTTAATAAAGCGTCCTGGTTATTACTCTCAGTCACACTGTAAAACTCATCCTTAGTATCATTGCACTCACACTTTAGCTTATGTGTTGTAAGATCAGGCTCATACTCGTCGTTCGCACTGCTGTCCTCTATTTTGATTTTAATGCTGTGCAGGAATGGCAATGCCTTATTGCCTGTATCAGTGCACTGGAGCTCAGCTGCTGCTGCTGCCCCTGGAGAAGCAGCATCCTCCGCAGGATCAGTTTGTAAAGAGGGCAAATCCGTGGCAAATTCAATACAATGAGGGATTTTGGAATCTTTCTCTGAATTTGCTGCCGTTGATGAAGAATCATTATTTAAGAACCTAGCAGCTATTGTATTGTTATCTGCACGGTGTGTAGTAGTTGCTTGAAGGCATTTCCTTGCCTCTCTGAGTATTCTTTGTTGTGGAAATGCATTGTTTGTCTTTGGGCTAGGTGAAGAGGCCCCCTTTGCAACACAGTTAATTGTTAGGTCAGTACTCTTGGCATTATTGGAAAATTCAGAGTGTGGGAATGTGATCTCGGATACCCTATCATCTCTTATCTCCGCGAAGCAGCTCCCTAGGCCGCCGGAGCAGCACAGCGCCGGGGCGGCGGGAGCCCAGCCGGGGCGGCCCCACTCCTCCGGCAGCTCCGGTTTGACTCCGCCGGGAGCGCCGCGGAGGGCGGGCAGCCCACCGGGCTCCGCCGGGGCCGGGGCCGGGGCCGGGGGCCGAGGGGCGGCGGCGGCCGCCAGATGGTACAAGAAGTTCGCGTGGACCACGCCGGGCGGGCTGCAGAAGCTGGTGCGTCTGAAGCGGATGCTCTGCACCGAAACCTGGCTGGAGACCGAGCTGGAGTCGGAGTCCGAGGTGCTGTCCTCCTCCTCCTCCTCTTCCTCCTCCTCTTCCTCCTCCTCCTCCTCCTCCTCCGAGCTGCCCTCGCTGGAGTCCGAGGCGCCGCTGCCCTCCTCGTCCTCCTCCTCCTCGTCCTCCTCCTCCGAGCTGCCCTCGCTGGAGCTGGAGAGGCTGGAGCCGCAGTCCGAGTCGTGGGCGGCACGGCCCGAGCAGCAGCTGGACTCCGAGTCGCTGCTGGCGCTCTCGGCGAAGGCGGGCGGCCCGAAGCCGCGGGGCAGCGGCAGCGGCAGCCGCGGGGCGCCGCGGGCCGGCAGGGCCGGGGCAGGGCCAGGGGCCGGCGGGCGCCGCCGGGGGCCCAGTGTGCCGGCGGCGGCGGCCGCCCCGTGGCGGCGGCGGCGGCAGCGGGCGGGCAGGGGCGGGGGCCGGCGGCCGGGAGCCGGGGCCGCGCCGCGGCGGCGGGCGGGCGGCGGGGGCGCAGGGGTGCGCAGCCGCCCGCCGCCGGCGCCGTTTCATAGTTTACGGGGGGTTTGCAAGGCGCCCGAGCGATTTCTGGGTAGCTGTGGCCAGTGTATTTACTAAAAATGTGAGGTAGATGAGCGGCCGGTAGCAAGGCTGTGTCCCCCGGGCGCAGAGCTTTCCTCCGGACGGGCAGCAGCGGCCGGGGAGAGTCGCTCAGACCCAGCCAAAGTTTGTTCTCCTTCCAGAAGCCGGTGAAGGGGTCGGCGGGAGCGAACTCCGGCCGGAGGTCGGCGGCAGACAGAGCCCGGCTTAGTTTCCTCCGTTTCGTCTTAAGTACCCGTTCGGTTTTGCAGGATGTGTACAGGGCTTCCACGTCCTCTCTGGAGATCAGGGTGCATTTGGCGGCGTGGAAAGCGATGGAGTTGATGGCTTTGAGTTTCCTCAACTCCTCCAAGTCGCAGTGATGCTTTTTTACTTTTAAATGATCCATTCGCTTGTGCACGGTAGTTCGCGGGATGTTTTTGAGCAGGTCTGTAAAAACCTGGGAGAGTGCAAACATTTGCTTTCCTTTAATGATGAGGTAGCCGAGCCTCACGCCATCCACCTCTTCAAAACCCGACTTCAGGTCTCCCATTTCGTGAATTAAATTATTCCCAGCATTTGCAGAGAGAGAGAGAGATGAAAAAAAAAAGGAAAAAAAAAAAAAAGAAAAAGCCACACACACACAATCCTCAGCCAGATGCTGTATTTGTCTCAAGGCATCCTCCTAATAAAATATAACAAAGGCTGTTACTCCTGGTGAATGAAGTGCCAAACTTTAGACAAAAATTAAAAAAATAAATTAAAAAATACCGTGAGGCTACAATCAATATATAATCTTAAAAATCAGGTTTGCCAAAGTGTTTCTCTAAGTTGCTTCTGAAGATCAGTACCTGTTCCCTTTCATTCCCTGCTTTTCCATTGGAAACTATGATAATGGAATGTGAAGGGAGGAAGAGAAAAGAAATGCAGCTGCTATTCCCGCCGCTGCTTTAGCTACAAATAAAATGACAGAGTGAAGTGAGCTCGTCCGGAGACACCTTCATCAATTAATTCCCCTAAAGCCAACGCTGATTGGACACTCCTGACAGGTGATGCAATAAAAATTGATATTCCACCCCTTCCCCCAAAAAATCTCCCACTAATTAGCATACCCTTATACTGCCACCTCCCCTCCCAAAGTAAATAATACAGTTAGTATATAAATCTTTCTATTAAACAATCCGAGCTCAAACATACTCAGCCCTCTCAGACTTCCTCGTCGCTAGCTTCCGAGGAAGGATTTGTATGCTTTTCCCCCCTATCGTTCCGTATATTTTCAGCCTGTTTTGGACAAATGTTGCTCTTTTGTGCACGCCGTGAACTTAAAGGACGTAAGTCTGATCGTAACGATGGAAAATCCTTCGGTAACGTAGCCGCTTTAAACTAGCGTTTTATTCTCCATTGTGTGGAAAATGAAGCTGAGAGAAAACGTGCAGAACAGCCTGGTATTTCCCCTTCTGAGGCTCCAAAGTTAAATGTTCGGTTGCTAACGAGAGGGAATACTTACATTTTCGAGTTTCTCTTGATTTTCCTCTTCTGCTTAATTAGCTTTTTACAGCCAGGGACTAAGGTTATTTTTGCTGTGTGAGTATCACGGGTTCCTGAACCGTGATACTGTAACACTTTTAACTGAAATTCTGCCTGTAATATTGCGGGAGGGGGGAGGAGGACGTGAGCTCACGTCAGACCCATAACAAAGCATAGATAAGCCAGAAATGTATACACTTTTCACGATTAACCGTACTGGATCACGAGCTGGAATGTCCTATAGTCCCAGAGACCACGTCAGGATTCCTGCGTGCTGATTGTTTCCAGCAGAGAAAGGAGAATGTAAAATATCCAAGGTGCTTCCAAGAGCCTTTACGTAATAACAAAAAAGTGCTGGCACACACAATGTACGATATTGCATCGGGCTAGGATGCTTCTGGCTCGCAGTTTGCATATTCCGCTCGGAGAAGCCCTGCCGAAGCTTTTTGATGCTCCATTTATAGCAGCCCCTTAAAATCAATTGGAAGAAGCAGCACGAATGTTTAACCTCTTCTTAGGAACGTTAAATTATTCGAGTGTCAGCAACGGGGATTTCGCAAATGTTGCCTCTCCCTTGTCACGTTAACGTGATGCTTGCGGTTTGCACGTTAGGCGCTGCGAAAAAAAAAATCACCAATCTCTGCCGTGCATCCAGTGTTCCGCTGGATACAAACACCAGCACTTTTATGTATCACTGCACATCCAGAATTAGACACATCCGCGAGATTAATGAGACATCTCATATTGCTGTGACTTGGCAAAAAAATCGACGGAGAAAAAAAAAAATTAAAAATCTTCAATCCCAAACGTCAGTGTCCACTCCGCATGTTGGCAATATGGTGCGTGGAGTTGGTGTTACCCCGTCAGGTAAAGCTAAAAGAAAGCGCATAATCACTCTGTGAAAAAGCAGTTTTGCATGCCAAGGCAAAATGCAGGCGAGCCCCCAATTTCACAGGAATTCGAGAGAGAAGTGGGAATTTGGAGAAGTGCATCCGGGAATGGAGGAAGTCTATTCAAGAGAGCCTCTAACTCGGAGGGCTGAGATTTGAAAAGTCAGCCCTGGACTACTGTTGCTCTCAGCGCAGATGTAATCGCCGCTGTTCAACTTAATCCATGTGTGTGCGAACCGCGATGCCTAGTTCTTCCCTTTGAAACCTAGGGATAGTATTCCCATCCGAGAGAGCAGAGCTACAGCAAATTACATTTTGTCCCTCGAATTAGAAAAGGATCATTGAGTGGATCTCGTGATATTTCAGCCTTTAAACGTAACCGAGAGGCAGCAGTGAACAATGCCTCGGCACAGCTCAGACCATCCGCGGAGTTCGCCTTCCCTCTCCTCGCATCTGGATCCCCCAGCCTTGCCTTCCTCTTGCTCGCTCGTGTGAGAGGCACCCTCGTATATGCTGAGGCTGAAAGCAAAGTTTCGAGAGAAAACAGCTGCTGGCGCTAAAAAGAAATCATCGTGGTCTTTCTAGAGCTAGAGACAATAAGGTCGTTTAAAAATTCCTCCTGATGTACTTATATGCTGCCAACACCCCCACCCCCTCCCCACTGCTCTCCTCCCCCTGCTTTAAGGTTAAGGCTATGGAGTCAACAGTAAAGGAACTGTAAACTCCGATAAAGCTGTTCAGAAGACGTTACAAAAAACCCCGATGGGATGAAAACTCCTTTATTTGTCAGGTAGTTCAGCTGGGTCAGATTCCCGTGTAAATCCACGCGTGCGTTCGCACGCAGGAAGCCACGGGCACCCAGACCCGCACCCAAGCGTTGCCGGTGACAGCCAGGCAGTGGGATTCGGCAACTGTTTTAAAAATGCCCTTTTTTTTTTCTTTAATTTCGGCGCTACCAAACGTTTAAAACTAGTAGGGGCTCTTCGGCAAACCTCGGGCTCCCCCGAAAGGTGCGGCCATGAGCACCGGGGCCGAAGCAGCGCCAGATGTCGGCAGGGAGAAACACACCAGAAGACTTGGGAAATGTCAGGCGCCCAACCTACACATCCCCACCGTATACTTACACACACTTTCGGTTGCATGTCTTTCTCCGCATCTCACACGGAGAGCTTTGTTTCTTTACTTCTCCATCGTTTGTTTTGTTTTGGTTCTTTTTGTGTGAGTGTGTGTGTGCTTTCCCTTGGCCATCAGCACACATTGTGTATCCGGGGTCGTCTTCATGCGAGCAGGGGGAGAACCTGATAAAGAGCCGTCAGAGGCCTCTTGCACACACACACGCACATTAAAGGCGGGGGACTTGAAAATGGATTTGCACGCACACAGGGGATTGCAATCAATAGCCACCAACATTTATGGTTTAGATTGTTAATGTGAAAGCTGGTCAAAAGAATGAAAATGAAAAATTAAAGGTGTCTGGTGTCAATTACATGAAAAGTTATGCCATAATTTACTTGCTGGGATGTATGCCTGCGTCTTCGTTTGTCCATGTGCATGTGTGTGCAGACCCAGATGTACATGTAGCTATTTCTCAAAAGCAAGGGAGTTTCTTTGTTAATTTTGTGGACTGTGTCAACCTCTCTGGTGATCAAAGATGAACATGATTAAAGGGATGGATGTTTGTCTCACATTTCTTAAGATAAGGAGGCCCAGAGATGCCCGGTTTTGCCAAATACATACACATGCAACTACAGAGAGTTGTGTGTATGGGCGCACACACACACAGAGGCGATCAATCAAACGTGCTCCTTTTCACATTGAGTAGCGTGCAATCTGCAATCTACACTCTATAGCCAGTAGTATTTCAGTCTTGAAACTGTCTCTCCAAAGGATAAACCTCATTAGAAAAGAAAGAGCAAAATAATGTTCATAAAACTTTGCTGCAGACCTATTCCCATTTGTTGGAAATCATATACTTTGATTTTTTGTAAACTTGTGTTAAAATCTATATGCTCACAGGGAAGCGCTTAGCCATGTCATTCCAGAAAGAAAATGTGTGCAACATTTAAAATACTCCTTTCACGTGTTGTTTTGATTTATTTTCATAGTATGATTATGTTTAAATACCACTGCAATTCCGTCTGACCTCTTCCTTCTGCAATGTAGTAATGCACACACCATTTACAGTCTTTTAAACGTTTCGTTGGGAAATGCAACAGCGACGTCCACCACCAGTTGTACTAATGGGGAGAATTCTTTTGAAAATCTTCAGGAAAACCTAAGAGGTCATACGCATTTTAACACTAGGATTGCCACATTATTAGAATATTATTATTACTTATTATTATTTGTTAATGCTGGACCATGTTTTCAGGTACTGACAAGCATTAAATAAACCTTTTGCTTTCATGACCCTGGGCAGAAATACTTATTTCACGTGAGAACTTGATTTCTAACACTACACCCTGCTTCTAGATACTGCTGGGCATATTTTTCTCAAGGAGGACACAGATAGAGAGCAGCTAGAGGCTATCACAAAGAGTCCAGTAACGTAAATATAATAGGGTCAAAGAACAATATAATAGGATCCTTCTGCTATTTTAAAGTCAGCCAAATGTGACTGTAGTACCTAAAATTTGCCATAAATTCTACTCTGACAATGTATCAGAATGTATAACTAAATATCCTAAGTGTGTGGCACAAAGAAATACCAGCCACCAGTCCAGGAAAAAAAAAAAAATCATAATCTGGCTAACACTCTTATGCCTAGGAGTTCCAGGGTTGTTTTTTTCCTTTTTTTTCCCCTTTTTTTCCTTTTTTTTTTTTTTTTGGTTTTTTTTGTTGTTGTTGGTAAATAAAGACACAATGCAGGGTTCTACTAAGTGCTTTTTAAGTTGGTGTTTTTTTGGTTTTGGTTGGTTGTTTGTTTGGGTTTTTTTGGGGGGGACTGGAATGTTTCTTGCACACTAGAATTTTGTGCAATTTATAATCACCACGAGCTAAGATTATTTCTTGAGTTTAATACTCGTGGTAGTTTTAAAATAGTTTTTAGCAGGAGTTTCTGGACACATACTACATGCCATGTTGTTTACTGACCCATAATCAAAATGCAGTGACCTTCTACCCTTTTTTTGCCCCTTGACCCATGCTGAATTCAATGCAGCCTTTATAAATTTGCAAATCCTTGGACGTAAAGGGGATTTGGTGAGGCTTTGTTCTGAAAGGATCCTAAAAGTTTGCATTTTTAATTAGACAAAGGTAAAGCAACAAACACTGGGAAATAAGATCCTCTCCTGCACATAGGTGATCCCTCTTAATTTCTACTCTGGGAAACTACATCTTAAAAAATGTAGCCTGCAAACTGAAAAGCAGTTGAAAATGAAGGCGATTGGGAGGTTATGAATTGCACCAAATTAGCAATGTGGTACAAATCACTTTCATGACGTAAGGGATGGCCAGGCCACAATCTTCCGGCGCTCCCCATCTCCAAGGACTGTGTGGATCTTGGAGACCCAGGGAGAGGGGAGAGCCAGCGATTTGATCTGGAGCTACAGGCACATTCCCTTATCTCCTTTGCTATCAGTCAGTTTAAAGGACACCGTAATTATGATGGTGATAAAACAATGCCCGCTTATGTGTGCTGAATAAATAAAGAATGTTTACAGCCCCAGAATGTTTCAATTCCAATTAAATGCTATCAAAGAAAAGCCCCTCTCCCTCCCTCTCCCCTCCCTCCTTCTTCCCCATGACTCCCTATTTACCTTGTTGGTTGTAATATGGCCCTATGAAATAAACCGGCCTTCCAGTTTGCCATTAAGGCCACATCAGGAGGAGGGGGAGGAGGAGCAGGAGGAGGAGGAGAGGGGGTGTGAGACAACACGCACTCCCAGTCCCACAATTACTTGGGTCGCCTGCATATTCTTTTTTATTTATTTATTTATTTTACTATTATTTGTTTATTTTTCAATTGGAAAATGGGTGATGATGCAGGGGGAAAAGGCACTTAAGGATCCTGCTCCAACCACTGACTGAGGGAGTTGGGCTGAATTAATCTGGTGCCCCTGGGCACTGGAGG